GTTTCATTTCACGATTCGCTCATGCTCGAGATAAGCAAGCGCGCAGCGCCACTTGTCACGGATGGGCATACGGAGGGACGATGGCTAAAGGTGTGGTGACGTCATATCTCTAGTGGCTATAATGTCTTCTCTTGAGGCGATATGAATACTGTAACGGGACAATGTGATTCCAGTGGCGTTCGTGGCATAATTGATAGCGCATCGGACTAGTGATCAGGAGGTATCGAGTTTCAAGACCCGTCGAGAGGCTGACTTTTTTTCAAAGATTTTACTTTATTTGATTTTTATCTTATATCTTTTTTATATTATCAGCAAGTTTGGTTGGTTAGGTTAGGTTATGACAGTTTAATTTTATAATTAAAAAGTTAATTTTATTACTAAAAAATATAAAATTAATTTAAATTTTTCAACTTAGCGGTTCTAGTGGCGAACGCTGGCTGACACTATGTTAAGCCATCGTCCCTCCCGTGTGCCCCACCGCCACTTGACACAACATGAAACTTCCCTTCCCTCCCTTCTGCCTCTGGCTCTGATCCTAGAGCAGAGCATTACGTTGTATTGCACTCTTTTAAAGTTGTATACGTATACCGTATCGGTATCGTATTGGCATTGTTTTGATGATTCGTGATTGTTGATAAGTATATGATTACGAGTGGTTTAAGTTTTATTTATAATTAGCGCATTAAATAAGAAGAAAGTATAAACTGAATGAATGAGCAAAGCATCTTGCGAACCGATACTAAGAAAACAATGGCAGAAAAAAAGAAACCGTCTGGCACTTATTATAGAAAGCGTAAGGCGAATTTGGAAGAGGAAGATAAAAAAAAAACAAGCCAAATCAATGAGTAGATTTTTGTTTAAATCATCTGGTGGCGACCCCATTCAGCCCAAAGAAGTCACGATAGAAGACGGCAATGATTTATATAGGTATTTATTTATTTATTTTCCAAGGAAAGATTAACACAAGCAGCTGATCACAAACGGCAAACATTACGTCATTGTCGTCTTCTATCGTGACGTCATGCTTGATGAGCATTAAAGCCTGTTTTTTTTGTGTGGCCTTGGTTTTGCTAAAGTTTGTATGATGAGTAAAATTGGAAAAATGTTAAATTTCTGCGAATAATAAACAGCCTTTTATTGCAAGTATTCTTCTAACCTAAACTTATTGAAAAATTCTTCCCAAAATTATTGGGAAAAAATTCACAAATACGGTTAAGTTATGTTCATTGTTTGGGGGGGGGGGAGTTCTAAGTGGCGCTGATTCGGGTGTTCGCTTAACTCTGAAAAATTCCTAGAACCGGCCCTGCCACAATACAACTATTATACACAATTTCCAGTAGGTCTGAATAGAAACTACCTAAAATAAAACGATAGTATCCAATAAAATTCACAGTACACATAATTTAACTTTCGTGTCCTAACATCAAAACTAATCGTCACACCTATCCTTTATATCAATTTCACTGCATTAATTGCTAAATAAATAAGCGTAAACAAAGAAAAGTAAAAACAATAACGGTTTGTTTTGAAACAGCTGTTTGGTTGAAATAACATTCATTTGAAAAAAAGAACTGGTCACATGTAGCAGGAATATAAAAAGTAAACACGCTACGCTAGTAAAGCTCTAATGACGTAATTGTCAATGTTTACTATCCATACCGTTATCAGTTCTATCCTTGATAATTACCCACCCTCATTGAATAAATGTAAATCGTAATTTCCCATATTAGTTAACTACAATATATTCATAGTTGAAATAAAAGTGATATTTTCACGTTTGGGGGCGCTGATATAGGCACCCCCCCAAACGATACCACAACTGAACACGATTTCATAAAAGGATGGTTTGTCTAACTGCAGTATCCTAGGTCAATGTTGATGTTGTATAAAACCCGGCTGAGGTTGTGGTGGTAATTTCAAATCGTGATTCCTGATTATTCTTGATCTTTTTATGACATCAATATTTCTGGGCCTAATCCAAACAGCAGACAAACATTAATTGTAAACAAAAAGCTACCATGAAGAATTAAAACATGTAAACTTTGTTATTTTTCTAATCTTTCCTTGAAAATTGGAACAGTATAATAATTTGCATTTATCCTTTTTTATTAGGATTCGTGTAACAGAGCCTCGATTTGTACTGTGGTTTAATTAATTTTGGCCTAAACTATTTTAAACTGTGGTCAAATTATCTCCACTAATCTTACTTATTTCCTATAATCAATGACAAAATAAGAGTAAATAAAATAACGTCATAGTTCCATAGTTTATATTTAACCAGCTGTTAGCTAAAACAAATTATATTGCTCTAAAACAAATCGAAGAATACAAAGATTGTTTTAAAAAACCATTTTAACATCCTATTATTTTACTATGTATATTTAATTAATCTGTCATCCTCTTACAGAAGAATTGAACGTAACAATGATTAGCATTACACATAGTATAAATAAGTCAACCCTAAGTATGTCTTTACATTTTTATCCAAATGCTGAATTTCTGACACAAAAGCTGAATGTTTACAGCTGTTATGTTAAGCAAATTATTTTATGCCAAAAGATAGTTTAGAATCTTAGCGTCGGCTGCTAGACTTTTTAAAAATTAATTCGACATTCCCTAGCTCTCAAAATTATCTTTCTTTCAACACAAAAATCATGAAAATCCGTCGAGTGGTTGATTCAGAATCGTGAAATAAAAAAACACTGTTTCGTTTTAATATTATAGATAAAAAGGGGTAAAAAAGGCAAGGGGGCAAAAGGCAAAGGGTAAAGGGGCAAAGGGTAAAAAAGATACAGAGTTTCAATGGTATCAAATAAACTTTAATACATAAATAATTTGTTGAACTTTTAAACAAAGCAGACTAGACATAACGATGGTATGGCAAAAATAAAATCACAAATGAATGTCTTTTATACATAGTTATCTTAAGTAAAAACTAAATCTGTAACTAAACTCTACATAACAAACTACTAATTCAAATATAACAAAATAAATTTGGCCATTAATTCAAATACTCTATATTAGAGTGTTCATGTTCCTGAAGCTAGAAACATCTAAAATATATTCTATTCCTCAAATCTGGGAATAACTGTTTTACTAAGTCTTCAAAAAGGTTGGTGAACCCTGCTTGGTACTCAATGTAACTTGTGGATAATTTTGTTGGTTTCCGTAACTTTTAATTAGGTTGACAAACATACCGGAGAACCCATATGTACAGGTTAAGTTTGCAAGGCGCGTTTGGCAAGATTTCTCTGGGTAACTCTGTCCAAAAATTTGGACAACCATTTAGACGATTATTATAGGTTACCGGTGTTTACAAGATAACCAAGTTTTTAAGTTTTAAACTCAGGGGCGGCTCCAGGAATAATTTTTTGGGTAGGCCTGACAACGATAATCAAGAAAGGGTTTGATCGGGGGACGAGAGGTTTGAACGGCTTTCCCGCAAAAAGAGGGGAATTTTAAAATTTAAATGCAAAAAAATTTGTTTGAATGCTCTCCCTTTACATATGATTAAATTTCTTTATTTATTTATAATTTTGAAATATCTACCAAAATTTTGGGTAGGCACTGGCCTACCCTCTGGAGCCGCCCCTGTTTAAACTTGATGAAAAACGCAAATAAGTTCTGAAATATTAATCGTATACAATAAAATAATTTTATACAATAAAATTACTATAATAAAATAATGTACTAGGTAACTTTCAATAAATTGATTTTTGTAAAACATTAAAAACAGTGTATGTGTTTGGTGTATACTAATAATAAACAAACCTTTCTTTGGTGAAATAAAGTGCTGTTAAAAATTTTAGTGTAGTGACTTATAAAACAAAATAAAAGATATACAAACCTTAACTAATATTAACACAAAGCTAAACTAACATACACAAGCATTCTAATGATCAGTCAATGATCGGTGATGTACAAAAACATGTAAACTTAAAAAGATATAGGAAAATTATTTTTACAAGTGATATTGAGTCTGTGATGTTGCTACAGGATTTTTCTATAAGTGACGTATCAAAGATGTATAAAACTATAGCTAAAATATACAACCATGCAAAATATGCGTAAAATACAGGATGGTTTAAAATTGATATCATGGTTTCAACACTACAGGGTGTTTTTTTAAAAACTTGCATCTTTATTTATGTAAAAACCGCAATAGATAGAAATATGCAGTTTGCGGGAATCATCTATTGACGTAGGGGGCCCAATTGTTTTGAATTCAACGTTACAATCACATTCCCCCCCTTTCCCCCCCTGCCCCCAACTAATTTTTTTTAAATAGCAAGGTACCGCTCGTGACATATCAAATGAAAGAGCATAAAAAAAGAAAATGTTTGATGAAAAAAAATTAAAAATCGGTTCATAAATTTGCGAGATATTCCCCCCCCCTTCCCCGGAACTTGATTTTTTTTTATAGCAAAGTACCCCTTGTGACATATCAAATGAAAGAGCATGAAAAAAGAAAATTTTTGGTGAAATTTATTTGTCATTTGATATGTCACAAGGGCGGGTACCTTGCTATTAAAAAACAAGTTATGGGTAGGGGAAAAAGGGGGGGATTATCACACAAATTCATTAGCCAATTTTAAATTTTTTTCCACCAAAAATTTTCTTTTTTCATGCTCTTTCATTTGATATGTCACAAGGGGTACTTTGCTATTAAAAAAAATCAAGTTCCGGGGAAGGGGGGGGGGGAAATATCTCGCAAATTTATTAACCGATTTTTAATTTTTTTTCATCAAACATTTTCTTTTTTCATGCTCTTTCATTTGATATGTCACAAGGGGTACCTTGCTATTTAAAAAAAATAAGTTGGGGGCAGGGGGGGAAAGGGGGGGAATGTGAATGTAATGTTGAATTCAAAACAATTTGGCCCCCTACTTCAATAGATGATTCCCGCAAATTGCATATTCCTATCTATTGCGGTTTTCACATAAATAAAGATGCAAGTTTTTAAAAAAACACCCTGTATATAAAACCTATTATCAAACTTACAGTATGAATAAAATGTTACTAAGGAAAGATCAGCACAACAGTTTTGAAAGGATGGCGCTGTGGGTTGTCTTCCTTAAAAATCAAGCGTCTACAAAAAGAGATAAGGAGTTTCTTTCGATTCCTGGCAAGGCAAAGGGCAGTTGTCAGTCACTTCTTCTATGGGGGGCCAATTTTTAATTGGGACCACAAGGAATTTGGAAAGGGTTACACCCTATATCGGTGTAGGTGGTCTCGTTTAACCATAATAAAGGTGCCAAAAAGAAAAATTACCATTTAAATTCCCAAAAAGGCAGTCTTGTTTTTAGGGGGTCAAATCCTGACTAAAGGGCACTCACTCTCTAGCTGTGTTGCCCCTAAAAGATGCACTAACAAAAATTTACCATTTCATTTGAATCTCAAGAGATTTGTTGTCCAAACCCTTAGATTCAATAACAAGAAACACTTCAAACCACATTAATAAAATCACAGAACGTGTATAATACTTTTTGGGAGAGTTGATTTTCCCTCACATTGGTTTTTTGCTAGCATAGACTCACCACATAACGGTGGGATGAATCTAGAATGATAGTGGATGAAGCAACGAATACAGGCTACTGAAGCTAGATAAGATTTGTTCTATCTTGCTTGGCGAAGACTGTATCGCAATGGAGACTTTAATTTATGGACAACCCTGGTATACTTGGAGTTTATAAAGAATCAAATAGACATGCTGCCACACTAGCTGAAAAATAATTGATGTAGACACTGCAGATTCTGTAGTGTATCTCTGAAATAATTATTCAAGAGTAACTCAATAAACAATACTCAGTACATAATTATTTGCTTATTGTCTTAAATTTAGACCCTATGAGACAATATACTAACAAATAGAACACTTAAAAGCCTTTAGGCAAAATTGTTTGTGTTGATTTTTCATTCAATCTTTTAGTGATAAAGTGTTGAAATTCTGTTATTCATTTTTAAACACCGTTTACTGTATTTGAGGGTTTAAGTCTTACTTTTACAGTGAATCACGGTTTGGGTAATAGCTTCTTCCTCATAAGGAAATTTGTTAACAATTTATGTTGCAGTCTTGCACGTTTCTTGTACAGAGCCTTTGGTAACTAGATTAACAATGTTTATCTATAAAAGGCTACAGTTAGCTACTTCTACATAGGTAAATTTTCTAAAATATATTCGTATTCAAGTCTTATAAAAATTTGCTCACCCTTTGGAAACTAGACAAATGAGTTTTACCTAATATAAAAATTGGTATAACTGGCTGATCCAAGACAAAATCTCTAAAATTATCAACCATACATGCAAATGTACAGTATTCAAAGATAACCTAACAATCGTGGATGACTGATAGATAAGGTTAGTCACTGAAAAAAGTCAGTCTCATAAAATTCACATTCATAATAAATGATTTAGCTACCTGATGGTGCATTACTAGTGCGCTCAATAGTTTAGAATTATTGCAATTGCTATGATATAACAATATAGTAGGTACATCATTAGCATACAATTACAAATTATAACATTTGGTATCTTGGTAATAGGAAACAATGTTTTACAACAAAAACAAGTAAATTCTTTTCACAGTAACAGCCACATTGAGGGATGAAGTTACTTTTGTGAAGAACAAAAGAGAACACAAGCAGCAGTAGATACTGCCTCAAAAAACTTAAAAATAAAAATGGATCAGAAAGAAGATCTGTAAATCATAATGGATTAGTAGTGGTCTGTAGATATATTGTATGGTGGTTTTAATTATTTGATTGTTCTTGTAAAACTTCATACACCTATATACTTTGTCATGACAGTTTTTAGAGAAGTAGTTTTGAAAGGTACCGTACTCAACAAGTTATATTTTGGTTGATAAAATTCAGTTTTTGGATAGAAAAAACTGACTATAAAATTTTACAGGATCTATACTAAAAAAACCAGGCAGACTTTGAAATACCGGACAATATAGCACTTGTGAGGGCAACTCTATGATGTCAAAAGATACCAAGAGGCCTAATTGTCTACAAAGTTCTGTGTCTTAGCCGATAAAATTAAGTAGCCTAAATTATATAGAAATATACATTCCATTTCCATGTCTAAGTTGCCCCCAGTTTAAACAAATCAAAATGGTCTTAGATTAATTGAGTCACTGACAGATTGTGCTGATATAAATAATTACTGATAACTGTAGGATATGCAGAGTTTTTAACCAAGTCAAGTGATAAGACAATTTAATATAAGCTCTGTGGCATATTTTATGTCATTTAACTATCTCAATAAAGTAGTTGCTCATTCAACTATATCCCTTTTTTGAATAAAAATTGGCAACAGCTGGTTCATTTAGATAGGATCAGGATATCTACTTCAGTATTCAATAAATAGTCAATGGTTGTATCACAATCACAGTTACACTATACAGTTTTAGGCTATGGCAAAGTTTAGAGTCAAACCTTATAAATCATTAGCGAGTTTTTGCATCCCTGTAAAAATCACGTTTAAGTTTAACGCTATCAAAATAGAGCTGATGTGTTGTATTTTCCAATGCTTAGATGTTAGGATTGTTTAATATGGTTGCGAATTGATTTTGTAGCTATGGAGGACTAATTTGTTGTAGTTATATTATAGTAATAAGTTGTAGTTAACTTTATCAGGTTCAGGAGCTATAACTGATCAAGGTTCTATGGGTTTTTACATACAACTTCTTTTAATAACGATATTTCATCATTTAGGGTGAATCTCAAACTGGTTTTCTATATTGAAGAAAATCTAAGCAAAAATTGAATAACGCTTTAAAAATAAACTGAGCATAAACGTCCAACTTAGGTTATGTTTAATTATTTACACTTAACAGCTGGTTTTTAACGGTACGATAAAACACTACCTTAAATCCCGTTAAATATCGGGCCTGCTATACATTATTGAGCTCGGTAAACGCTATTCACTAAAAAATAACGTTTAACACTTAGCGTATTTAGTTTAAGTATGTTGCAAAAACTCTCTATTATCATAGAATCACTTCACAACCCATCGTTAGATTTTCGGTTGTATAACAGGAGACACAAACTTTGCAGTATTTTGGAGCCTATTATGAACAAATAGCAGTTAGTGAACAATTAAAATGTTTGACAACAAACTGCTTTGTTCAAACATTGCTTAGACAAAGACAATTTTAAAGGATAAACTTGGAACACAGTTTGGCATATACCTTGTATGATTCAGTAACTACATAACACCTGAGAAAGGTCAAATATCACCAGAGTTGGTGTAAAGCTTGTATCATCTGTAGCAGTGAGTGAGACGGTATCGCAGAATGTAGTAAGTTACAACTTTGACTATGAGGTAGAGAGATGCTATAACTGAAAGACAGACCCAGTAGTTGGCTTCATGCATGGACAGTTGCTTCAAAAACTTCTCTGGAGCTCGGAAATGGCAATAGTCTACTGAACAGGGAATTTTGTCCCTGTCGTAACTGAAACATTGAGATAAAAGTTTACGTTGGACGAGGCTCAGAAACTATTATACTGTATAGCATTAAAGAAAATTAAGAGACATTTTCCAAAAAGGAATATTATGCGATCATTCCTTATCATTGAAGACTAATTCAACATTGAATTTGAAATAGAATATACATATATGAAACATTACAATTAAGGCAGTGAGTGTAACATCTTATAATTTCTAAATAATGTTTGTTTAAGAGTGTAGTGGGTTTTAAAATTTATTTCTCACATCATTGAAGACTAGTTCGATAGGTATTTTATTTTTAATAGTTAACTTTTACATCTGCCATATTGGCATGAACGTAATTTTCTGTAACATGAGTGCGGGGTGTTGATAGGCTACTACTTTTATTTCTAAGTAATTTTTTAGAGAAACGCAGTTTCATCATTTCATAAATTTTTATTACGTAATATACGTTTCTTCATAAAACTTTTGTGTAAAAATGCAAGAAACGTTATTTGAAGTGGTATTTCAAAACAATTCAGAGATTATATGCGGATGTCAAAGAGGTTTCCTTTTTTTATACTGCTGCCAAAGAACAGCTGACAAAGTTATTGTCAGAATAGTGCTTAGGATATTTAAATCCGTCCTTGACAGTGAAGCTTTGTTACTGACAGAGACAATTTTTTCCTTTAGCCAGGACCACTATAAATGTATTTAATACTTTACCAAACCAATCCAAAATTTAATATGCAGCATTGTTTAGAGCCTATTAAAGATTACAGTATTATATGATGAATTTTTTTAAAGTTTCTTGCATAAGTGATCAATAATTTTACCGTACTGCAGCTAATTTTACAATCACTATAAAGTTATTTCTATAAACTTTCTTGTTGACAAAGAGACCAGAAACCAACTTCTTATTATGTAGTGTGACGAAAAGACTAAGTAATGTATAAGAAACATTACAATGAAGGCAGTGAGTGCATCATCTTACAATTTCTAAGTAATGTTTAACCCTAGCAGTGGCCAATGTTAGAAGTGGGGAATGGCCAACCCATTTTGGCGATTTTGCAGACCTTTTTTTGAAAATTCGTAAAAATTCAACCGTACAAGTAAACCTAGCCAACCTCATATTCATTTTGTTCGGAAAGAACAGGAGAATCTAGAAATAGTAATATCATAATGATTTAGACAGTGTATTTTATCGATAAAGTGAAAAAAATAAAAAAATTTGAATTTTTTTTTTTGAAATTTCAAAAGCGGCCTTGGTATTTTTTTTCTACGGATTTCTTTATGGGAAATTCATTATATACATTTTGTAGAAAATCTAATTCCCTACATAGAAATATATAACATGTTAGGAAAATATTTTTTTTTATAAGTTTTTGGGGCGAAATATAATGACAAACGGAGAACCGAAAAAATTGAGAACCGTACAGTGTTAGTTTATGTTGTAAAAAGTTCTATAATACATGTGTATACTAATAATGATATATACATGTTTGTAAAGCTAATGAAGTAAGGAATCAAAAAAGTCATAAAGTTTATGGTAAAAATAATTTTTTACCTATAAACATACGTATATAAAATAATGTTTATATATTTTAGCGATTTCTCGAAAAACAAAATTCACAGTACTTAGTATACAACTTTTGTACCAAATTTTTTTACTTCAAACCAACATAATAATCTTGTAGTGTATTCAATTACCAACATAAAAATGTATAACATGTTAGAAATATTTTTTTTGTAGGTACGTAATAGGGACATAATAATACAATAACCGCAAAACCGCAAATAAGTGTAAACTATAGCCTACAGTGTTTGCTTGTGTTGTGAAACATTATGTAGGCTGATGATATGTAGCCTACATATTTGTAAAGCCAATGAAGTAAGGAATCCAAAAAAGTCATAAGTGTGATGGTAAAAAGTTATTTTCACCTATGATTATGTAGGCCTATCAATTTGAGAACGTTTTGAATTTTTTGCGCATTTCGAGAAAATGGAGTGTACAGTATTTAGTAGCCTATATAATTTTTTACCAAATTTTTTACACCCAAACCAATATAAACATGTTGTAGTGTATTCATTTACCTTTATAAAAATGTATAACACCTTGGGTAAATCATTATAACCCCTCTGAATGTCAGAATCGTCATTTTTGGACATGATGCTAACAAAATAGCCTACAGTAGTAGGCCTATTTAGTATAGGCTATAACTTTTTTACAAAATTGTTTACCCCCGAACCATTATAAACATGTTGTAGTGTATTCATTTACCTTTATAAAAATGTATAACACCTTGGGTATATCATTATATAGGTACAACAATCTCTGAATGTCAGAATCGTCATTTTAGGACATGATGCTAACAAAATACAACCTTTTATGAACACTATTCCACACAATTCAGTAATATTTATGCATGAAGATAACTGTTATACACACACACAACACTTCACTTACACTAACACTACGAACTAATAACATATTTAGTAATAAATCGCGGATAAAACTATTACAGCAACAACACAAACAAACAATGGCAATACAAGACAGCTGACAGACTGTGGCAGTAATGACTCACTTCCGTCGTCTACATCACTGTCTACATGCGAGCATACAGAAATAACCCTGAGTGCAGGGCTGCCACTCTCTGAATCTAAATTTCTTCCTCTTCAAAATGATATACTATATGACTAGTAATAATAACTTTCACTGTATATAATTCGTATTTTCCATACTGTCACCAGACGACTGTTGGCCATTTGTTAGAAATTTCGAAAACAGCTGTTTTCATAAAATCGTACCGATTGTGCAATCAATATTTAGTTATAAATATCACTACCACAATGAAGATAAAATCAATGGCTATCCAGTGGTATCACCCGCAACATCCCAAGACGAAAATTACCCGAGCAGGGTAATGCCAAACAAGACGTGTTTTGCCAGTTCCCAAGTGTCGGCTGCAAAAGTCGTACCGCGCCAAAATTTCATTTGATTTCTAATCGTCGTGACATTGTTATATACCTGCTACAGGGTTTGTTTATGTAATCAAATGAAAGTTCAGAATGTGATCTTTCGAATGGTATATATATTATTCTAATCTGAATTGATTGTAAGTGTTTTTTTTACCGTTAAAAAAATTTCGGCCCATACCGTAACCAGACGACTTTGGCCATTCTAAGCATCAACGTCATACCGTAACCAGACGACGGTTGGCCACTGCTAGGGTTAAGAGTGTAGGCCAACAAACGTACCCGTATATAGCTTGCATGAGCCCCTCTATAGCATACTTGAGGTAACTGATGTGAAACAACCACTGCAAGTAGTGAGGAGCGTCTGGCAAGAGCAGGAAAAACCCTGAGAATATCAGCCAAGGCAAAATTGCCAACGGTCCGAAGATCACACCCAGCTGAAACAAAAAGTAAATAGTTTTTCAAAACCAACAAGTTATCTACAGTTACCGTTCGTAAAAAGTCACAGAATTGTTAAAAAGGGAAGTAGTAAATCTTCTACAAAAACAAACACTACCTAAGAAATATGCCCAATGAGATTTCATGGTAAAATATAATTGTATTGAATTTCAAAGTTTTACTACTATTTTTTACAGAAATATAATATGAATATACAACTGGGCAGTTTATTAATCAAAATCTTGTGGTTAGCTTTCAAATATATGTTTCATTTCAATAGGTTTATTCAATGAAATGAGTGGTTTGATATAATGGAAGATTTTTTTCCTTTATTCTAAATTCTTTACAAGGACCATTAGGTGATATATGTTACAATTGATTTTGAGTAAAGTAAAATCCTGACATTGACTACAGGATGAGGAAAGGAAATGTGTTTGAATAGAACCATTTGCTAAGATTGTTATTGCTTACCTGCCATTATTTTTTTCAAAAACATGCGTGAAATGGACTATGGAGTTCATTTTGGTTCCATGAGAAATGGCAGGAATAGTCCAATCCGAATTTAAAAAAATCAAACTGTAAGAACTCACCTTGACTGACAGCGTGGCTCCAACCAACACACCGACAGCTTGAGAGAACAGGGTGACAGTGATGAACATGAGCAGTAACATGTTGAACCTGAACATCTCCAGGGGTTGTTCAGACATCACATACACTATGATACAGTATATGGACGTACACACCACCTGGATAACACACTATTAATAGTAATAAGTTGGTTGCAATTTTTTTCGGTTTGATTTTTAATTTATCAGACAGTTAGTTTCGGTTTCAAATACAGTAGATAGAACGACCACACACTTATATTTTAGCCTTAGTCACACTAGTTATAGGTTGTTTTGTGTAATTTGCTGTTGGTAATGATAGATTTTAGGATTTTTTTATAGAAAAGTTTTTATTTTAATGATAGTTCTTTATTATTAGGACTTGGTGTTGGATTTTTTTAAGATATGTTTGAAATAGTGTGAACACCTAGAGCAAAAGTGATCTGCAAGCTTAAGATGATTTCCAGTTCTTCATATTGGTGAATGGCGGTCGACTTTCACTTTTTTGACCATATTTTATCAATCGTGTGAAATACAGAGGTTGTGTTTGAACAAAAGTTAAAGAACACAAAGAAATACATCTTTTTAGTAGTGACAATATTCACCCTATCTCTAACGGTTATTGAAGAAAATTGAAATTATTATTTAATTTAAATTCCCATGTTATTCTTATGGAGAATAAGTAAACTTTTGTAGTTTGCTCGTTTGTGGGTATATTTCAATTGGCAAATTTATTAATTTTGTACTAAGCTTAATATTTTACCAAAAACACAATTTATTACCCTCCATCATGTAGCAGCAAACCTAGGTATTCACTAAACCTAATGTTATTTAAATAGATTTAATTGAAAATCCAATCAGGCAAATGGCAAGTAGCTTAGTCTGCATGTTTGCTGCAGCGGGTATATTTTATAGATGTTTTAGATAAAATTTTTCAAATTTACTTATTTATGCTTCCCGCCAATGCTCTTGCTACGTCCCTGCTGAAATGGTAAGCATAATAAGGTAGATATTTTAAGCCAAGTGTGAACGAAGTTGAGTATAGGATGAGTGGCGTGATCTTGTAGTTTTGTTAGTGACTAAAAGCCGACATGTTCTGTAGACACAGCTGGTTATTAATAGCCCATACAGCCAATGGCAACTAATGGACCTACAGTTTATAGTGGATTCCTAACCACATTTTTGCCTTGTAATTTACGAATTGGTCTGATTTTCAGGATAGTACTGTGGATAGTCGTAGTACTCACTAGATAACATAGGCAGGTACATTTTCATTGATATTGGGGTCTACATCTGCCAAATTTGAAATTCCAATATAAAATTATGTATTATTTCAACCAGGATCTCATCTAAGTATAATAGCAGGGCCGGTTTAACCCATACGCAAACTACACGGCCGCATATGGCGCCACAAAAAAGTGGCGCCGTGGTGCCAACGGAACATTTTTTTTTACGTGAACAACGTAATTTTGTTTATTTTTGCTCAGAGTTCAAGTATTCAAAGCACCACAATAAAGGCATTTATTCTGTTTGTACCAACAGCACTTGAAAATTTTGTATATTTGTACAGCACTACAACTCAAGGACTCAATGCCATTTGCAGTTTCGATTTGAACTGAGCTGACGCTCGGCAGTCGGCAGCGTCAGCGCCAGCGCGGCACCTATGGGTTTCATTTCACGAATCACTCATGCTCGAGATAAGCAAGCGCAGCACCACTTGTCTTGTCACAACAAGAAACTTCCCCTTTCTTTCACTCCTTTCTGCCTCTGATCCTAGAGCAGAGCACTACGTTGTATTCACGATTACTAGAAAAATACCGGTATGGATCATAAACATAAACAAATGACGTTGTTGGCCCGAATCCTATACTAATAGCATTGAACATATGTTTTGGCAGTTCCATTTAAGCAATGTTAAATAATGTTTATTTTCGGGCCAAAAACGTCATTTGTTTATGTTTATGATCCATACCGGTATTTTTCTAGTAATCGTGGTTGTATTGCACTCTATTAGTTGTATACGTAGGCCCACGATTACTAGAAAAATACCGGTATGGATCATAAACATAAACAAATGACGTTGTTGGCCCGAATCCTATACTAATAGCATTGAACATATGTTTTGGCAGTTCCATTTAAGCAATGTTAAATAATGTTTATTTTCGGGCCAAAAACGTCATTAGTTTATGTTTATGATCCATACCGGTATTTTTCTAGTAATCGTGCGTAGGCCTATACCGTATCGGTATCGTATTGGCATTGTTTTGATGATTCATGATTGTTGATAAGTAAATAAATAAATAAATAAATCTTTATTGTCACATAACGTTTACAAAATATAGCAATGCTATAAAACAGGTGACATTGTCAATACAGTATACAAATGCCTTAAAACTAAGGAGTTATAAAAGAATAAAATAAACTAACGTTATGAAAATAGAAATAATTGTTATAGACAAAATAGATAAACTTAAACATTGCATTTAAAATACCAAATAATTACACATCTTGATCACATAAAAACTCATCTATACTATAATATGTTTTCCTTAAAAGAAAATTAGTAAGGCTGCTCTTGAAATGCTTAGACTGTATTCTGTTTTTGAGCTCTTGAGACAATTTATTAAAAAACTTTTTGCCCATGTATGTCGGAGTTTTTTCTACTAATGAAAGACGATGCCGCGGATATTGAAAATTATATTTAAACCTAGTATCGTACTTATGCTTGACATTTTCACTAGATAATTTTTCAAAATTTCCCTCCACCATCAAAAGTGTTTAAAAAATGGTTAAACTCGGAACAGTCATTATCCCTAATTCTTTAAAAATAGGTTAACATGATGTTCTCCAAGGAGCAAATATCATTATTCTTAAAAACCTTTTCTGTATCTTAAAAATTAAATCAATGTTTGATGCAAAGCCCCAGAATTCAATTCCATACTGAAGAATTGAATAGAAGTATGCATAATATAACATCAAACGAGTTTTTAAGTCAATTGTGTTTCTTAAACATATCATTTGATAACATGCCGAATTCAGTCTACTAATCAAATTTTCAATGCTTTTGTTCCAATTTAAATTTGAGTCTACGTACAATCCGAGAAATTTTGCATAATCTTGAACACATAAATTTTGGTCACTAAACTCTCTTGCCTGAGCAGTACAAAACTTTACCAATTGGGTTTTATCTTGATTCATTTTTAAACCGTTAATATTGAACCACCGTTCCAATTCCGATAGGGCTTGTTTAACTTTGAGAGATAGTTCTGAATCATTTTTAGATTTGACAACTGCAGTTGTATCGTCGGCATATAAAACAAGGTTGTTGGAAACATTTTTAGGCAAGTCATTTATATATAAAATAAAGAGTAAAGGTCCGAGAATTGACCCTTGGGGAACACCAACTGTAATTTTTTCCCATTCTGATATTGATTTTTCATTATTTTTAAAAATTACTGTTCTTTGAAATCGATTTGTCAAGTATGAAGTCAACCATAAAACAGATTCTTTTGAAAAGTTATAAATTTTTAGCTTTTTTAAAAGTATATCATGGTTGACACAGTCAAATGCCTTGGATAGGTCACAAAACACTCCCATTGTGCTCTGTGACCCATCCAAAGCCCATGAAACCTCACTAATAAAATCTGATAAAGCTTTCATTGTGCTTAAGCGCTTTCTAAAACCAAATTGTTCATTAGCCAAAATATTGTTATTCTCGAGAAAGTTTGAGATTTGTTTGGATGCTAATTTTTCAAACACTTTTGAAAATGATGGTAAAAGGGAAACTGGTCGATAATTGTCCGGATTTTGTCTCTCGCCCTTCTCGAAGAGTGGTTTGAGCTCTGCATATTTTAAATGGTCTGGAAAAGTTTTTTTTTTAAAAGACTGATTAATAAATAGAGATAAAGGTTCAGCTATGAAATTAGAGACAGTTTTCATCAGATCGATAGGAATACCGTCCCAGCCCGCAGATTTTTTACTTTTGAGAGATTTTATATTATTAATAACTTCTTCTATACTTACAAAACTAAATTCAAATTGGTTAGGTTGATTTCCTGCCAATGCCTTGTCATTTTTAGCGCATCCTCTTCATGAGGTATTATGCCAATTTCTTTTGTGATATTTTTAAATTTTTTATTAAAGAATTCAGAAATTTCCTTGCCATTTTTTAGATGATTGTCATTAACCTTAATATCAGGAAAGTTTAAGTCACTTTTTTTACAACCGAGTTCAGATTTAATGATAAGCCAAGCAGCCTTACTCTTGTTACATGATTCTTTTATAAATTTAGCATTATACAATTTTTTAGCTTCATTGCATACCTTGTTGAAAGTTAACTTATACCTTTTAACATAATTAATGAAATTATTATCATTTGATTTCTTTACTAGTCTGCTTAGTTCCCTTTTTCTAATACTAAAAGGTACTACTAATACTAATACTAAAAGTCATTGAATAGTCATTTATTCAGTCTTTAAACAATACATAATTGTAATTGACATCGTCATTATTATTGTAAAGATATAAGATGCGATACTTATAGAATTAATAAAATTAACATGAAAATTCCAAAATATAGGCTGCCCTTAGTTTAACATTTAACAGGTTTAAAATATTTTAAAATAGGCAAACTTAACAAACTTAAATTATGAATGACAGTGGGTCTTTCTTAAAAAAAGCTAATGGTTATCACAGGTGTAACAATGAACATAGATTGACAAAATTTCTAACATTAGGCCATCACAGATGGAATATGGTAAAAAACATATCAAAATAAGTGAACATGAAGTATATGAAAATTAATTACAGTAATACAAAATCCTATGGTAAAATCCTAGCCTAACTTAAAAACATTTAACATTAGCAAAAAATGAGATCATATTCAAAAAATTCCTCAATTTTGTAAAATGGGTGAGATGAAAGCCACATAGTTAATTTTCTTTTAAAGACACTTAACGGCAAGGACTTGACTTGGGGATGAAGCTTATTAAATAATTTTATACCTAAAACAAAATGACTGTTTGCAGTTTTCTGTAGCCTACAGTGAGGTACGGTGTACATGTAGGGAGGTACAGTGAGGTAAGCGAATTATTACGAGTGTTTTAAGTTTAATTTATAATTAGCGCATTAAATAAAAAGAAAGTATAAACTGAATGAATGAGTAAAACATATTGCGAGTCAAAACTATGAAAACAATGTCAGAAAAAAGAAACCGTCTGGCACTTATCATAGAAAGCGTAAGGCGAATTTGGAAGAGGAAGAAAAAAAGCCAAATCAATGAGTAGACTTTTGTAGAAATCATCTGGTGGCGAGTCCAGTCAGCCCAAAGAAGCCACGATAGAAGACGGCAATGACGTAGGTATTTATTTATTGATTTTCCAAGGAAAGATTAAAACAAGCAGCTGATCACAAACGGCAAACATTACGTCATTGCCGTCTTCTATCGTGACGTCATGCTTGACGAGCATTACATTACGGCCTGTTTTTTTTAGTGTCCTTGGTTTTGCTATAGCTTATATGATGAGTAAAAGTGTATAAATGTCACATTTCTGCGAATAATAAACAGCCTTTTATTGCAAGTTAGTATTCTTCTACCTAAACTTATAAAAAAAATTCTTCCCAAAATTATTGGGGAAAAATTCACAAACGGTTAAGTTATGTTCATGGGTTTGGGGGGGGGGGGGATTCTAAGTGGCGCTGATTCGGGTGTTCGCTTAACTCTGAAAAATTCCTAGAACCGGCCCTGTATAATAGAATAAACACAAATATTTAGCACTCACCTGTATTGGTATATCAGTCACAGTCAATGCTATATAGTAGGATTTGGGGGAGTACCAACGGTTGAAGTGTTCTCGAACTATAATCGGCATTTCCAAAGGAACTGTAAACCAATCATTTAATTTAGTTAATGAGTAATAAAATCTGCTGTTTAGTAATACAAAGCGTCCATCTAGCAATCATTCAGTGGTCAGTGTAGAAGATTGGTACTTCTAATATTAACTGAAATTGCTGAGCCTAATTCCTTCTAAATAGACACTACAAGAAAAAAAATAAACTATACACCCAACAGTTTTACTTGACTATAATACTAGCTTAGCTAATGGTAATAAATTACAAATACATAAAATACACTTACAAGAAATGATCATGGTTGAGAGGGCAGTATACATGAGGAACATCAGAGAGAAAAATAACAACCGGAAGTTGTCAAAGACAAAGGCAGCGTCATTTCCGATGCCTAAGTAGAAGAAACCCAGCAGAGATCCAACAGCAAGATGGATACTGATGCGGAAATTTGTGTAGAACTAAAACACAAATCAACATCTTGTATCATTCCCATAAATACCAAAGGAGGTTAGGCTTCAATTAAAATATGGTGTAGATATGACTAAAATACTGAATTTCACACTGCTATGATTTACCTTGTCCCGAGAGATTATTTTGAGCATTCTCAGCACAAGAACTGAAAAGTGGCTGAAGCAAGAGCCTGAGTAGGAACTGATCTTCACCTCTCCTTTATCTTGCTGGCAGTCCAAGCTGTGACCTGTAAATGTAAAAACAATAGTGGACAATTTAAAAAAAAAAAACATTGATGTATTTGTTTATCCACGCTTAACTAACTTTGCCCCAAATATGTGTGATTTAGAAGAATATACATTCATAGTGGTATAAATTTCTAAAGGTTCAGGCTTTTGTTGGTTTTTACAAGAGTCCTAAAGCCTACAGACAAACATACTTATGGCAATGGTGATAAAGCATACAAAAAAACAAACAAGAGTAGCAAATTTAAAACATACCACTGGTCTGCAAAGCTGTCCTCCTCCAGTCCTTACTTTTACCGTTGTTGATTTTGTCTACTAACTTGTCCATGTAAGGGCCATACTCCCCCACTGACACATCCAGAACTGAAAACAAACATATACCCTTAAAACATTTACTTATACGAAAAAATGAGCAGGGAAGGACTTCACAGAGCTTGACTTCAAAAGGTTGTTAATACTTGTGCGTTTGAATTTATGTAGGTGAAAAAGTTTACCTTTTATAGAATTTTAGTTTAAACACATAGTCCAGTGGCTGAGTGAGATACAGACTTCTAAAATATCTACAACAAAATCCTTTGCATATTAAATCTGGTTTCTGGTCTAGCATGTCAAACATACATTACCAACTCACCGTGGTCAGCTAGATTGTGATACTCTGGACATGCGAGACCGAGGTCATCAAGGAATGCCGTCAGTCCCTTGGTGCCACCCTGGTAGACACAGCAGCCCCCGGCTATCACATACACGTGGTCTAACAGGTCAAACATGGACGCTGACGGCTGATGTAGCGTACACACGATGTTGTAGCCACTTGCTGTCAGCTGTTTTAGATACTGAAGACACTTCTTGGCAGTGAAGTAGTCTAGCCCACTGCAACACCAATTTTACTAACTCATATCTACTCTTACGTAATGTGGCTAAGTAATGTTTTAAAATAAACAGATTTTTTCAAATGTTAGTCAATAATAAATATACAGTTATGTAGATTTTGCATAGTGTGAAATCAGGGAATTTTATAGCATAATGGGATACTAGGAACTCTAATAGCATGTTACAGCAATATACAATTTAATAAGTTAAGTGTACAACTGAATACACAGAAAAAAGTCATATTATTAAGCAAGCACTATTTCTGTAATTAATTTACTTAAGTTTCCTTTTAGTGGGTTCATGACTAAAGGCCAATGAGAAAGTCTCTCACCTCGTGGGTTCATCAAAGAACATCAACGGAGGGTTGTTGACGAGTTCCAAAGCAATAGCTAGCCTCTTCTTCTCTCCGCCTGACAGAGTTCTCGTGAGGGAGTCTGACTTGTGAGACAGATGCAACGTTATCAAGATATCCTCAACCTGGCCAACAAATGGATGAGTTATACTTGCCAGGGTAGGAAGTTTGTAAAACAATCGATCAGAGAAGACATTATATCAAAATGCCAATATTACTAGCAACATGGAAATGAGAATCCGCGGAGGAAAGCTATAATTACTGACCTTTTTCTGTCATGAGGAAGTTGTCATATAAATCCTTGAGCTTAAGAAGGGTTACCAACTATCATTATTGATGGTACTTGCAGGATTGTAAATAGATATTTTGCAGAGTGCCACAGGATAGCACAACATAAGATGAATTGGCAAGGGTACCATAAAATAATAGGTTCAGATAGATTGTAGATTGTGTCAATCAGGATGGTGTGTATTAAAAGATTAGAGAAAGGCTCCCAAAAACACTGAGAGTCACACCACTAGATGCTAGATGTATTAAAATAATCCAACAGCATTCAACAGTTGAAACAACAGTCAGCAATCTGACACATACTTTCTCCCATTAGCTTGTCTACAAAGCTTATCAAGGGCAAGCAGTGGGAGTAACTATGTTATTTTAGAAAACTCAAAGAGTAACAAAAAGTCTTAAACACAATGCCCACAATACATAATAAAAAATGAAAATTGAAATTGCTTACAATAGCAAGTTTTTCCTCGAGTGTGTAGTCATTGCCCAATTTCAGATGGGCCGAGGTGACCATCGCTTCTGTGATAGTTAGCAGCGGCTGTAGGTTGCAGTCCTGCATGATGTATGCCACTTGCTTGCGGGATTGGCGCAGATCTCTAGCGCAGCCATTGTGTTCAATTTGGCCCGTAAAATCTAGTCTGGGGACAAAAAATGCACAGACTAAGTAGAGTCAGTTGGAACTACAACAGTGATTAAATGAAGAATTACTCATAAGCTTATAACCTATAAACACTTATGATTCTTTTACTCAGCGTTTTTTGAGGCCACTGCCTCAGAGTATTTCAATTTAAACGAGGCCTCAGAGTATTCCAATTAACACGAGGTAGGTCAACCGGCTTCCCGTGAATGCGACTTTGAAGCTAGGTACCAGTTGCTGTTAAACTCTGCAAAAAAATTGGACAAAACTTGTCTTTCTTTTAATCAATCTGTCTAACATTCTTCACAAAAAAATTAATAAAATTAGAATTATTCTTAAGTGACTAGGAAATCTACAAATTAATAGATACATAAGCAAAACAAAATGGGTATGAAAATTAGTTTTTAGATTAGTTTTTATAGTGTAGAATGTGACAATCGCGTTTGAACACATAATTAATATATACAAGGAAAAATTTAAAAACAGAAATAAGCTCATTAATGAACGAGTAAATTTTGACTCCAGTTGCACTTATAGAAACTTTATTGGCCAGTACTTCCGGTAGCCAATAGTATATAAGGGACACTATTGAGATTCTTGTCATTTGCCTATTAGGCCTGATTTTAGTCCAATCAAAATCGAGCACCACTTACCATCTTTTATATGTATTTACTGTCTTGTGAGTCAACATAATAAGTGTAAATACATTATTACAAATTTTATTAGACGTATAGCGGTGTATTTTTTTTCAATATATTACTTACGAATATCCAGACAAGATGTCCAATAGAGAACTTTTACCAGAACCTGACGGTCCAATGATTCCTGTAAGTTCATAAGCTCGAAAGTCTCCAGATATCGCCTTTAAGATTGTCTTTCGCTCTAAACAAATAAAAAATAAATTGTTACAGAATAAATTATCAAAATATCTGATATGTCTTTGAAACTAATCCATGCGCTTGTTTATAGGGTAAATGGCATAGTGTAAAATGCAATACATAGTTATATTTAGAGATGTCTGATAGCAATTGTTGTTTTGGTATTTAAAAAATATATATATTTAATAGTGTTTTAAGAATGGAAGATTGTTGTATCAGACAAATTTTATATTCTTAATAGTTTTTAAGGAGGGTTGAACAACACAAATCAAAAAGTGCCCTTTACCTAAACCGGGCATAAGATCTTGATATTGTATTTAGCTGATACATAAGAATGAGAAATTATAACTAGGCTATGTTTAATCTATATTTATAAAAGAGGAAGTTTGTATATATATATCCTATACTCTAATACGAGCAATGTTTGCTTGTATGTATGTACGTATGTATGTATGTATGCTTGCTTGCACCAAGATCTCGGAAACGGTTCCGACGATTTTCTTCAATTGTTGTAAATAGTTTATTTCTGGCCTAAATCCTATACTCTTAATACGAGCAATGTTTGCTTGTATGTATGTATGTATGTATGCTTGCTTGCACCAAGATCTCGGAAACGGTTCCGACGATTTTCTTCAATTGTTGTAAATAGTTTATTTCTGGCCTAAATCCTATACTCTAATACGAGCAATGTTTGCTTGTATGTATGTATGTATGTATGCTTGCTTGCACCAAGATCTCGGAAACGGTTCCGACGATTTTCTTCAATTGTTATAAATAGTTTATTTCTGGCCTAAAAACGAGTTTACTGCAGTTAGAACTGCCAACAAAAATCTAATTACGTAGAAAAATGAAAATGAAAATCACATTTTTTTAACATTAGTTTTATGGGTTGCTAGGTAACCATGTTGGCTGAATTAAATAACAAGTAAAAAGTAAACAAAAGACTTGAAGTTGTAGCATGTGTTCATAATAAGCCAACTACCCACAGTATACTAGCAAATTACAAATACAGTACAAAAGGATAAACATAAATTATTAGCAAAAATTATACTGTAGATTACTCGATACACTGTAGTCAAGGGTAGCAGTGAGAAGTCTGGGAACTGTTTATGACAATTAGTTTAAGGTATCTGCAATCCTAAAATGCTATGGGAAGGGAAGGAAACAGGTCCGCGACGGAGGAAGTGGTGAAGGAAGTAGTAAAGACAATCATAAAATGCTATGGGAATAGAGGGAAACAGGTCCGTGACGTAGGGAGTGATGAAGGAAGTAGTCAAGGCAAGTAGTCCGGAGTGTGGGAACTGTTTATGACGATTAGATTAAGGTATCTGCAATCCTAAAATGCTATGAGAAGGGAGGGAAACAGGTCCGTGATGTAGGAAGTGGTGAAGGAAATAGTCAAGGTGAGCTGTCTGGAGCGTTGGAACTGTGTATATTCAATCCTAAAATGCTACGGAAAGGGAGGAAAACAGGTCCGCGACGTAGGAAGTGGTGAAGGAAGTAGTCAAGGCGAGTAGTCCTGAGTGTGGAAACTGTTTATTACGATTAGATTAAGGTATCTGCAATCCTAAAATGCTATGGGAAGGGAGGGAAACAGGTCCGTGACGGAGGAAGTGGTGAAGGAAGTAGTCAAGGCAAACTGTCTGGAGCGTGGGAACTGTTTATGATGATTAGATTAAGGTATTTGCAATCCTAAAATGCTATAGAAAGGGAGGAAAAAAGGTCCGTGACGTAGGAAGTGGTGAAAGAAGTAGTCAAAGCGAGTAGTCCAGAGTTTCGGAACTGCTTATGACGATTAGATTAAGGTATCTGCAATCCTAAAATGCTATGGGAAGGGAGGGAAACAGGTCCGCGACGTAGGAAGTGGTGAGGGAAGTAGTCAAGGCAAGTAGTCCGGAGTGTGGGAACTGTTTATGACGATTAGATTAAGGTATCTGCAATCCTAAAATGCTATGGGAAGGAAGGAAAAAAGGTCCGCGACGTAGGGAGTGATGAAGGAAGTAGTCAAGGCAAGTAGTCCGGAGTGTGGGAACTGTTTATGACGATTAGATTAAGGTATCTGCAATCCTAAAATGCTATGAGAAGGGAGGGAAACAGGTCCGTGATGTAGGAAGTGGTGAAGGAAATAGTCAAGGTGAGCTGTCTGGAGCGTTGGAACTGTTTATGATGATTAGATTAAGGTATTTTCAATCCTAAAATGCTACGGAAAGGGAGGAAAACAGGTCCGCGACGTAGGAAGTGGTGAAGGAAGTAGTCAAGGCGAGTAGTCCTGAGTGTGGAAACTGTTTATTACGATTAGATTAAGGTATCTGCAATCCTAAAATGCTATGGGAAGGGAGGGAAACAGGTCCGTGACGTAGGAAGTGGTGAAGGAAGTAGTCAAGGCAAACTGTCTGGAGCGTGGGAACTGTTAATGATGATTAGATTAAGGTATTTGCAATCCTAAAATGCTATAGAAAGGGAGGAAAAAAGGTCCGTGACGTAGGAAGTGGTGAAAGAAGTAGTCAAAGCGAGTAGTCTGGAGTTTCGGAACTGCTTATGACGATTAGATTAAGGTATCTGCAATCCTAAAATGCTATGGGAAGGGAGGAAAACAGGTCCGCGACATAGGAAGTGGTGAAGGAAGTAGTCAAGACGAGCTGTACGGAGTGTGGGAATTGTTTATGACGATTAGATTAAGGTATCTACAATCCTAAAGTGCTATGGAAATGGGGGAAACAGGTCCATGACGTAGGAAATGGTGTAGGACGTAGTAAAGGCGAGCCGAGTGTAGTTTGGGAATGGATTTTTGTATCTCCAATACAGTACTAAGACTGCTTTCAGAGAGGACTAATGATTTCCCCCGAGCAAAGCTCGGTCCCCAGGCACTGTATATAATATATTTGAACGTTATGGACTCCGAAATCGCACGACAGATTGTAATGAAACTTTTAGGCATTATTAAGCATTATTAAAGGAAGGTTTGTGTGAAATTTGGTGCAGATCCGTCAAAAGGGCTTCGCCCCAGTGGCTCTGGAGTTTCCCATGTTGAGTACTTATATTTAAATGGAATTAAAGAATCTTAACAGCTGGTTCAACTAAACAATTTGAATCTGTGATGTTCAATAGCATTAAAAAGTTAATAGGCTTACCAACAGGGTGCAGCACTATTTTTTTTAATTCACGACAACAGCTAATTTGCAACTAAAAGGTGAGTGAGCGTAGCGAACGAACTTCAACCTGGGGGCGAGTTAGCGTAGTGAAAGAATTAAACCTGAAGGCAAGTGAGCGCAGTGAATGAGCTCCAACCTAAAGGTGAGTAAGCATAGCTAAGGAGCTTCAACCAGGACGTGATTGAGCGATCCGAATGAGCTCATCTTGAAAATGAAGGAGCATTTGACATAAAACCACATTAGGACAGGACAACGTCTGTCGGGCCAGCTAGTCTATGATAAAAATGTTGTAAGAACTAATGAATTTTAATTTGTTTTCAATGTAGGGAAGACCGCTTTTTTAAATTTAAGTAAAATTGTGCAGACAATAATTACTCAGGCAGATAATTGTACAGCTATTTAATATTACATAACCACTGTATGTTGGCTTGTAATAAAAGCTTAGGCTTTCTATTAGTGGTTTTGGCATCATACTTTTTCAAACATTAACCATCGATTACAATTTACCAAAAACTATTTGAGTGACTCTCTAAATCTACCTACAAAAAAACTATTGTTATTTTTTATGTTCAACACACTTTTAAGCTGTAAAAACAGTTTAGTTTTTTGTATATTATATTTCTACTTTAGTCAAACGGTTTTATTGACCACCGACCGGCACTAAAACTTTTTCTCGGCCTAAATTTGACCACCGCGCGGAGTTGGGCTGTCCCCCCGTAAATAATTGATTGATTGATAATTGAAACTAAATAAGTTAACAAACAATTACTGATAAATACAAAAATTCAAAATTGTTTATTTCAATGGAAGGTGTTTCACTGTTACAGTAAACTGAGTAAAACACTTGAAAGGCTGAAATAACCTTCATTCTATGACCTTGAAGTCATTGAGCAATTAATCATAGTTCATTGACATTAAGTAACAGTTACAGACTAGCATCAGAGTTTATTCCACTACAGAGTAGTAATGTTAACCGTTAACTAACTTATTTTTATTCGAAAACTAAACCAGCTATTCGTAATAAGCCGACGTTTTAACTAGTTTTTTAATAGAGATGATTCAGAAATGTTACTGTCAATAACAATGTTTAATTGTATATTCTGCATTATTGTTTTCTTTGGAATCAAATATTTTTGATTTTATTTTATAACAAGGACCTTAAGTTAATTACCTACCTTAAGTTAAGTTAATGGAGACGTTTTTTGTTTAGGATTTAGCACTAAAATACTCCTCAACATGCAAAAATAAAAATGTATTTACAATTTACTGCTGAATGTCAAATAAGTCCAACGAGATATTTGAAGTAAATGTGGGGTTTAAGAACAAGCTTTGTGAAGTGTTTGTGAGAACATTTTAGTTTCACAGTTTGTAGTACCTCTAAGACTGAATAACAAAGTCAAACACTTTATGGTTTTTCATACTTAGCATAATGATTAGGAGGGATGCTACCCTACAATAAAATTTGCATGAGTCATTGTTGGACAATTTTTGCAGGGGTCCAAACAAATGTAAATTTAAGCTGATTGCTGAACAGTGTAAAGTCTGAATATGAGTGATGTGAGTCATCAAGTCAACAACAAACCTTTCAACAAAAGTAATTGTTTGTAGCCTCAGCCTGTCAGTGTCAGCTATCTTATCTACTGTTGGCATTAGTCCATTAGATGACTTTGTGGAAGCCAATAACTATTGTTTGGAATCAGAATCTCATAACAAAACAGTGCTAAAGTAAAGGCCTAGTTTGCAATTTTAAGTAACCTCATAAGGAAATAATTTCAAGATAGAATAAAACTATAAAAATTTGTTTTAAAAGTTAGGGAAATCAAGAGATTTTTTTTTAAAGTAGACACATTAACTTAAGATAAATGATAAGATAGTTAAGCTATTATCAGTTTAGGACTATCATCTGTTTACTTCTGAAAAGCTCAAGGTCACATGTTTCAAAGATAGAAAGGACAAAACAGATTATTTTCCTTTTAGCGAATTTCCCATACAGGGAATAAGCTATTACCGTAGGTCTCATGGTAAGACCTGGACCTGGACCGATTTACTTTTTCGCTTTGATGTCCCTAGAGGCCAAAAACACCATCCGTTCAAATTCATATTTATATATATATATGTCGGTTAGCACGATATAACTCGAGCAAAAACAAGCCGATTTTGATGAAATTTGGCACAAACGTGTAAACCTACATTTAAATTGCGTAATCAGACTATGAGACCGGGGGGTTTATGGGGTAGACATTGATTTTTCCCTTTTTTAGCTTGAGGGAAATACAAAATTTTCCAAATTCTCTTCAAACCATTTTAAAGAGCTAAAAAAAATCAGTATATTGAAGTGTTTTGTGCAGTTATCAGTTAAATAGAAAATCTTAAAAAATTAAATTCCTGTGTTATTATTATGGAGAATAAGTAACCTGTTGTAGTTTGCTTATAAATGGATATATGTTGATCAAACCTGGCCAATTTCTTTATTTTATACTAAGCTATTAATATTTTACAAAAAAACACACTTTATTACTCCATTCCGATATTGGGTAGCAGCAAACCTAGGTACCTCTACTCGTCAAACCTAAGTTATTTAAATAGATTTACGTGAGGATGAAATCAGGCAAATGGAAATTCCCTTAATCTGCAGGTTTGCTACGGCAGGGTATATTATATTTTAGTCAAAATTAAAATCTATCTTATAAAGCCAAACCAGTTTCAATTGAACATTTACACTCTGCAGATGAATCTCTCAAATGGCAACTCTACTCTGTTGAACTAAATGCATAAAATATAAACTACCCAAACATCAATACTTGGCCACTAACTTCAGCATGTTAATGTCTCTCAAGCATTTTACTTTTGTAGTGGTGGTGTTTGGGCATTCTATATTTTGTTTCAATTTAAAATTATCATAAGACAATTTTGGTTTAGTAATACAAGTAGTTGTATGAAGAGTTTGTAGCTTTATTCCACAGTTATCAAAGATAACAAGCCCTCAGGAGGATTTAAATTAGAATTAATGATTAACATTGGAAGGTTGAGAGATTGTAGAGAGGTTACAGGGTAACAGATAAAAACTAATACAGTAATAGATTTGTACTTGTTCAACGAATAAAACTTTAAACAAATTATACTATTTTAAGGTTTGTTTAAAAAAAAAACCAGGCTTGAGTTCTATTATTTGCTTTTGCCATTATAAATATTATTATTTAATTACTCTTGTTTCAAACAAACAGTATTGATGACCATACTCATACAATGTTGTAGCCTATAAATATTGATTTCTAATGCATGCAGATACCGTAGGCCTACTCATAAAAAGTGTTAAGAAATAAATTATTACGACTAACGAATTACGAGATTTGCATATTGCAGAAACCATAGAGAAGTAGTGTAAAGTCCTGTAACATTTACCTATGAGTAACTAACTTATGAAACGAGCATGAACTTTCAAATCTGGTAAGTTTATGTTGTGCCAGAAATATAGGCCTACTTGTGATGAGCAAGTACGAGCTCGATAACAAATCACTGATAGAAATCTGCCATGAGTAGTTTAATTGAAATCCATTTTTGAATTGGTAACTGGAATTTATTTAGACTAGGCCTGCTTCATATGTATTAAATAAAATCATTTAATGTCACAAAACTTTAGTTAAGCCTGGTTTTTTTACGGGTTTAGTAAGAGATAGGCAGTAAGTTGCTGAATTGACTACGCCAAAGTAACTTACAGTTTCAAGTTAGACCTAGTTGTTTTAAGAACAGTTTTTTTTTTCACACAGATTTGAAACTGCTTAAATGAGCACAGTTTGCGGGCTGGTTTAAAACAAAGCCATTATTTAGCTTACCTTGAAAGTCTACTTATATGGTACAATAGTAGGTACCACACCCGCTAAAAATACTTAAAATCTATGCTACAAAGCTCCGACTTACCTTGGATTTTTAATTAATTTCTGCTAAAACCATTCTCAGAATAGGGTAGCCTACAAAATAATAATTAAGAGAGAAAATCTAATGGCCTAAGTTATATTTTTTTCTTTATCAGATTTTGAGTATTAATAAATTAAGGGGAATACATTGTTGGATTATGTTTCATTATTACTAGGTCTATTTGTGCTGATTCAGCTACATCTTGTCCCAACTATCATCCGCAGCCTAATGATTGTTCAAGCTAAATACAAAATAGTTTTATTTAACTTGACAGCAACGTTGCAAAAATGTTACAGGTGCATCACACGCAGGACTAACTTACATAGGCCTAATTGTTTTCATAGCCCCCTAGAGACCTATTTGTTGCGATTTTCTGAGTTAAAAGAGAGGTTAAATAAGCTTATTTTAAGTTGAGACTAATTTATTTCTTTGATGGTTGGATCCACAATCAAACTTTGACATCCAACTCTATAGAAGGTACGGTAACGTAACTTATTTTCAAACAATATAAGTACAGTATCGATTTAATCGAACCAAACTTAGTCTAACCAAAACTCTAAGGTTTGGTTACCGGTACTTAATCTATATCAATTCAATTGCAACAATTGTTACTTACTGAAATTGAGCCAGATATCATCTGTTTTACCGGATCCACTTAAATAAAACCATTTGTTTTTGTACTGTACTTTGAATCGTAATTTTCAAAGAGTAGATAACTTAGGCCTTAGTTTACCTAGCCTAGGCTATAAATCCAGAAAAATTCTGAAAACTTATTGCACACACTTGGTTGATATGACAAAAAAAGGATCTCCAAAAATCGTGTTTAAATGTTAAGCTTACCTCGGGTACAGTTTCTTAACTGGGCTATGCTAATATCGATTGAAACTATCGATTCGATTAGTAAACTTTCATGCGATTTTTTCACCATCAGCAAGTTTGGTTGGTTAGGTTAGGTTATGATAGTTAATTTTTATAATAGATATATTAAAAAATATCAATTATTAAGTTAATCAATATTTTCAATTCGATAGTTTCAATCGATATTAGTAGGCCTATAGCCCAGTTAAGACACTGTACCCCTTACCTCTTTTTATGGGAAATCCTCGATCACTAAGAGTCCATGAAGTAACAGTGTAATTAATGTCACTAAAATTAATACTAATATTGCTTGGTTTTCTTAATTTCAATAACAGTTTACTATCACAACTTGGTGTCTGATCTAATATTGATCCTGAAGAATCATTAAACTCCGATAAATCATTTAACTGAATAGGGGACGGATCAATGGCTTCTCCGGACATCTTAGAATATTTAATGAAAGAACACTATGAGAATTAATTATAGCTTATTTCAATTTTAGATCTTAAAACACAATACAAATCCATCCTTATCACTCAACTAGCCTAAGACACGTTCAAAATCAAAACAAACATCTTTCAGACGACACTATCCTAATCAGGTAAACATTAAACAAAGAGCAGCGATTGGAGACTGTGGATTGTGGAAGCAAAGAGTACGTTTGCGATTGGCTATTGCGCCCTGACTGGGAGCCATTTGGTAACAGATAACAGATGTTTTCAAGGCTGCAATGTTGCCAACAGTACCACACCTAACAACACTCTTGTGTTTTATCGTTTTATACCTTTAAACGGGACTATAAACACATAATACAAATCTGTTCAATTGAGGATCCTGGTTAGTGTGAGAATAAAAGTGAACAATACAGTACTTTGTTTGGGGCACCTCCACAGAGATTTTTACTTCTAAATTGTAATATTCACTCGCGTCATTGAATGTCCCATAGCCCATTGCCTCTTTACAGCCCCGAAGAACTAGGCAACGAGCCACATTTTAGCCGTTGCCACAGTGTAATAAGTAAGTACAGCCAGCATTAAGCTTACTGAAAGGGGTCCTGCGAAAAGTAAATAGTTTTTTGAATGTTTGAAACTGGGTCCAGCTATTCCTGATCATATGGCTAATAAAACAGCTGACATTACCACATTACTCAGTAACATAGCTACACGGATCATCACACTTCATTCTACACTCATTCTTCGCTCATATTTGGGTCAAAATACGCACCTAAATGGTGTCCCCATCAAATCGATAATGATAATATGTGACAGAGTTAAACGAGGGAGATCTATTCATGGTTTAACTTTTAGTTCATGACAAGTATTGGCTATTGAAATGGCCAAAATTAATATACTACTGCCTAGTCTAGTATTAATGTGAATTCACCAGTTCGCAATGTTGATATTCCATCAATGACTGGACACAGGAACTATCTTGCTCGAAGAATTTTTAAGTACTGCTGTAGCTTACTGGTATTGACAATAATAGCCCGCACTGAGGGTGAGGAAGGAACCTACAACTTTTTTTCGTGGTTGTAGCACATCTTTATAGGACCAGTCGTGACAGAGAGCAATACAGAACCTAAAAATAATACCCTTTTTCGTAGCTTTTTTAATAAAAGATACTCGCATCTTTGGGTCATAGAAGAGTGCTACGTTAATCAGGACTCAGGTGTGTCTAACAACTCCGTTGGAAATAACATGCCTCTACGTGAGTCATTGCAAAGTTCTATTTTGACTGAGACAACCTATTTCCCCACCATGGATTGTATTTAGGTTTGTCTGACGACTGAGTACGGTACCTGGTACCCTTTCTACTCACTTTGCTCCATTCTGCTTACAAACCTTGGCCGATTAATTCCAGTAGTCTCAGATAAATACCTACCTTAATAGCTAATACACACGGGTCACAACGGTTCTTTACACCTAAATGCTATTTTTTCTAGCTGATGTTATTAATATCATCCGATATCTAATTATATCTTACCATTGACTATTTGTTGCATGAATAGTCAAAGATCTTACTGATCAGAGTTGTTTTCATCAGTGCCAGTGAGCATCTGTTGACATCTAGTGTCAGTGTGTTTTTGGTCAATTATATCTTTCTGATCAGCTGTTTCTACTGAGCTTCTGTGGGACTCTTGCTTGTTGACAACTATGACAGTGTCAGTGGTCGGCCCTCGCATCCTCATCACGTACAAGGTCAGATGTCAAGTGGCGAGCTATCAGCTGATCAATTATATCTTACTCATCAGCTGTTTCAGCTAGCTTCTGTGAGACTTTGTTGACACCTGGCAGTGTCACTGTGTCAGCGGTCAGCCCTCGCATCCTCATCACTTACAAGGTCAGATGTAAAGTGGCGAGCTATCAGCTGATCAATTATATCTTACTCATCAGCTGTTTCAGCTAGCTTCTGTGAGACTTTGTTGACACCTGGCAGTGTCACTGTGTCAGCGGTCAGCCCTCGCATCCTCATCACGTACAAGGTCAGATGTCAAGTGGCGAGCTATCAGCTGATCAATTATATCTTACTCATCAGCTGTTTCAGCTAGCTTCTGTGAGACTTTGTTGACACCTGGCAGTGTCACTGTGTCAGCGGTCAGCCCTCGCATCCTCATCACTTACAAGGTCAGATGTCAAGTGGCGAGCTATCAGCTGATCAATTATATCTTACTCATCAGCTGTTTCAGCTAGCTTCTGTGAGACTTTGTTGACACCTGGCAGTGTCACTGTGTCAGCGGTCAGCCCTCGCATCCTCATCACGTACAAGGTCAGATGTCAAGTGGCGAGCTATCAGCTGATCAATTATATCTTACTCATCAGCTGTTTCAGCTAGCTTCTGTGAGACTTTGTTGACACCTGGCAGTGTCACTGTGTCAGCGGACAGCCCTCGCATCCTCATCACTTACAAGGTCAGATGTCAAGTGGCGAGCTATCAGCTGATCAATTATATCTTACTCATCAGCTGTTTCAGCTAGCTTCTGTGAGACTTTGTTGACACCTGGTAGTTTCACTGTGTCAGCGGTCAGCCCTCGCATCCTCATCACGTACAAGGTCAGATGTCAAGTGGCGAGCTATCAGCTGATCAATTATATCTTATTCATCAGCTGTTTCAGCTAATTTCTGTGAGACTTTGTTGACACCTGGCAGTGTCACTGTGTCAGCGGTCAGCCCTCGCATCCTCATCACGTACAAGGTCAGATGTCAAGTGGCGAGCTATCAGCTGATCAATTATATCTTATTCATCAGCTGTTTCAGCTAATTTCTGAGAGACTTTGTTGACACCTGGCAGTGTCACTGTGTCAGCGGTCAGCCCTCGCATCCTCATCACGTACAAGGTCAGATGTCAAGTGGCGAGCTATCAGCTGATCAATTATATCTTATTCATCAGCTGTTTCAGCTAATTTCTGTGAGACTTTGTTGACACCTGGCAGTGTCACTGTGTCAGCGGTCAGCCCTCGCATCCTCATCACGTACAAGGTCAGATGTCAAGTGGCGAGCTATCAGCTGATCAATTATATCTTACTCATCAGCTGTTTCAGCTAGCTTCTGTGAGACTTTGTTGACACCTGGCAGTGTCACTGTGTCAGCGGTCAGCCCTCGCATCCTCATCACTTACAAGGTCAGATGTCAAGTGGCGAGCTATCAGCTGATCAATTATATCTTACTCATCAGCTGTTTCAGCTAGCTTCTGTGAGACTTTGTTGACACCTGGCAGTGTCACTGTGTCAGCGGTCAGCCCTCGCATCCTCATCACGTACAAGGTCAGATGTCAAGTGGCGAGCTATCAGCTGATCAATTATATCTTACTCATCAGCTGTTTCAGCTAGCTTCTGTGAGACTTTGTTGACACCTGGCAGTGTCACTGTGTCAGCGGTCAGCCCTCGCATCCTCATCACTTACAAGGTCAGATGTCAAGTGGCGAGCTATCAGCTGATCAATTATATCTTACTCATCAGCTGTTTCAGCTAGCTTCTGTGAGACTTTGTTGACACCTGGCAGTGTCACTGTGTCAGCGGTCAGCCCTCGCATCCTCATCACGTACAAGGTCAGATGTCAAGTGGCGAGCTATCAGCTGATCAATTATATCTTACTCATCAGCTGTTTCAGCTAGCTTCTGTGAGACTTTGTTGACACCTGGCAGTGTCACTGTGTCAGCGGACAGCCCTCGCATCCTCATCACTTACAAGGTCAGATGTCAAGTGGCGAGCTATCAGCTGATCAATTATATCTTACTCATCAGCTGTTTCAGCTAGCTTCTGTGAGACTTTGTTGACACCTGGTAGTTTCACTGTGTCAGCGGTCAGCCCTCGCATCCTCATCACGTACAAGGTCAGATGTCAAGTGGCGAGCTATCAGCTGATCAATTATATCTTATTCATCAGCTGTTTCAGCTAATTTCTGTGAGACTTTGTTGACACCTGGCAGTGTCACTGTGTCAGCGGTCAGCCCTCGCATCCTCATCACGTACAAGGTCAGATGTCAAGTGGCGAGCTATCAGCTGATCAATTATATCTTATTCATCAGCTGTTTCAGCTAATTTCTGAGAGACTTTGTTGACACCTGGCAGTGTCACTGTGTCAGCGGTCAGCCCTCGCATCCTCATCACGTACAAGGTCAGATGTCAAGTGGCGAGCTATCAGCTGATCAATTATATCTTATTCATCAGCTGTTTCAGCTAATTTCTGTGAGACTTTGTTGACACCTGGCAGTGTCACTGTGTCAGCGGTCAGCCCTCGCATCCTCATCACGTACAAGGTCAGATGTCAAGTGGCGAGCTATCAGCTGATCAATTATATCTTACTCATCAGCTGTTTCAGCTAGCTTCTGTGAGACTTTGTTGACACCTGGCAGTGTCACTGTGTCAGCGGTCAGCCCTCGCATCCTCATCACTTACAAGGTCAGATGTCAAGTGGCGAGCTATCAGCTGATCAATTATATCTTACTCATCAGCTGTTTCAGCTAGCTTCTGTGAGACTTTGTTGACACCTGGCAGTGTCACTGTGTCAGCGGTCAGCCCTCGCATCCTCATCACGTACAAGGTCAGATGTCAAGTGGCGAGCTATCAGCTGATCAATTATATCTTACTCATCAGCTGTTTCAGCTAGCTTCTGTGAGACTTTGTTGACACCTGGCAGTGTCACTGTGTCAGCGGTCAGCCCTCGCATCCTCATCACTTACAAGGTCAGATGTCAAGTGGCGAGCTATCAGCTGATCAATTATATCTTACTCATCAGCTGTTTCAGCTAGCTTCTGTGAGACTTTGTTGACACCTGGCAGTGTCACTGTGTCAGCGGTCAGCCCTCGCATCCTCATCACGTACAAGGTCAGATGTCAAGTGGCGAGCTATCAGCTGATCAATTATATCTTACTCATCAGCTGTTTCAGCTAGCTTCTGTGAGACTTTGTTGACACCTGGCAGTGTCACTGTGTCAGCGGACAGCCCTCGCATCCTCATCACTTACAAGGTCAGATGTCAAGTGGCGAGCTATCAGCTGATCAATTATATCTTACTCATCAGCTGTTTCAGCTAGCTTCTGTGAGACTTTGTTGACACCTGGTAGTTTCACTGTGTCAGCGGTCAGCCCTCGCATCCTCATCACGTACAAGGTCAG